ACATTGTCACAAATGCAGTTCAGTTCAGTACAGTACCATATTGAGGAAACAAATAAACATTGGAGTTTGACTCTATCCAAACAAACCAAAAACATCTCTTACACATACAAAATTAGATTTACATGCATTTGAGGCACTAGGAGGGTCTGATAACTGAACGGTTCCCCCCTTTACCTTCAGCAGGAGGACATTGGACAGTGGTCTTTCCCCACTGTATCTTGGCAGCATCTGCCCCAAGCTTTAGTGTGTCCCTCAGCTCACAGTCCTGGGCCTTGGAATGTGCCAGTCTGCTACACTCAGTCGAGGTCAACTCCTTGCTCTGGAAGACCAACAAGTTTGGGGCTGATAAGCAACCTGTTTAGAATGGGCCTCCATTGCCAGAACCTCTAGTCCAGAGGCAAAGTCACTACCCTGCACCACAAGACTCACTGCTCTCCATGCTTACAAAACCAATGCAACCTATGTTATCTAACAGCGCCTTGTAATAGAAAGACGCAGACCTACATTATCATTGTAATAGAAATCTCTCACCTTTACGTTCCCTGAATACTAAGTGGGGTGGAATAGGTATTTAATTAGGATGTTATTTGGAGCTTCCCGAAGCCTCTCTACCCTCCCTGTTGGAGTAAGCAGGTCAGATCTGAATGGTGACCTTTCCTCTGTAAACGTCAGTAGTGTCGAGCTCACAGGTAGCTTCAACACACCAAGTCTGGGGAGAAAATAACGCTGACAACATCTCCTAGGCAACCAGCTCTCCGTCTCTCGTTCTATTTCACACTCTCACAGTTTGTTCCTCTCATTGACTCTCCTTCCAGAGCTCGGCAAGTCATCGCCAGTCCTTCCCCATCAAAGCACACACACACACTCGGCTCCTGGTAAGTACCCACAATCAGTCATTCTTTATATTGTAAAAATAAATTAACTGTTCTCGCTTGCACCATTGTCAGTTTGAGATAAATGATGTATAATTTACAATTCCGGAGACAAGTGGTGTGTGTCGGGTGGGGGGTGGGGGGGGGGGTTGGTTGGTTAAGCAATATTTCAATGAATGTGTGTTATTTGGCGATTTCTTATTTTTAAAAATGCAAATTGCAAATGAACACTCCGAACTGCTGGTGGATATTCGTTCGCTTTCAGTAACAGAACTGATACACAAGAGAATTTTTTTTTTCCTTTCTGCCGTCCATCACTGCTCAGTGAATTGCAAGTGCTGTAAAATTGCAACAAAACTGGACACAGAGCGATCCTGGGTCATATTCCCTGCCAGACAACATTCAGTCAGAGCAGGAGATCTGGCAACAGGGCGTTTAAGAGCCCACCCCGCCCATGTTACAGGAGACAATAGAACCTGGAATCCAGGACTCACTAGCAGGCGCAGCCTCCCTGGCGCTGCAGAATGCACTGGTGTTTGGGGACAGTGAGCTCATCATATCTTGACTCCCTTCCCTGATGCGCCCTAGTTACATTGGCTCTGCACCTGGAAATGCAGCACTCAGGGACCCCCCACTTTTGCTCGAAACAAGATTAAGGTTCACGTGTGAGAACTACTAAACAAAACATCCAGCACTCCCAAAGAAAAGCTTCTCTGCATTGTTCCAGTGAAAGGATTTACCAGCCCCCTCCCCCGCCCTTGTTATTTCTGAGGAAGGGTCACTTGACCCGAAAAGTTAACTCTGATTTCTCTCCACAGATGCTGCCAGGCCTGCTGAGCTTTTCCAGCGATTCCTGTTTTTATTTCCCCACTTACTATCACGATGCAGTGGGTTTTATCTCGAATTCAGTACGAAATTATATCTATTCATTGGTAATTCCTTGTACTAGGAAAACTGTGGGTAACAACGCTGTAAAATATGGGATAAATTTCACCCATGAATTGTACTCTGGCACAAAGCAGGGTGTTTTTACCTGAGCGATAATTAAGCAATCCAGCCTTATGTTACTTATCGAAAACAAATCGACCTACTTTATTTTTTAAGAATTTTCACATGAATGTATTTGCATTGTTGTGATGTCATCTCTGTAGAGGGAGCTGGATGAGGCAGAGCGCTATTAAAAAGTTCCTTTCCCGAGCACAAAGAGGGCTCGTGTGTTTACCTGAGAGTTCGTGTGTCTGGCGAATTACCCGAGTGATCTTTAAGGAGTGCGGGCTCTCTTCTTACAGACAACTTGACAGTTCCCAGGGTGGCTACTTATTGCAAAGTGCTCTCCAGCAGGAGACAGACACCAGCAGGCATGCCACTACCTGCTGGAGATGACCACTTTGGTGCTGGGCTTGTTCCTGAGTGTGTGCCCTTTAACGTAGCCCTGAATTCTCAACCATATGCCCACTCACGCAGTCACAGTCAAAACTATGCTGCCCGCTGAAATGTTGCACATTCGACTTATTTGCAATACTTGTTTTTTCATGCTTTACCTTACTGCACTTCATTTGAGTATTTGGGTTCGGAATTAGGGTGAATTGTTGACTTGGGCTTTTTAGGGAGGCATGCACATCGATTTGCAACCGACTGTGATCGAGTGGATCTCCCTGTTTCGAACAATAAAATATTCCCCATTTAGAAAATTGCAGATCAGTTCTGCAATATTTAAAGAAATTCAACTTGTGAAGGATTCGTAGTGCAATTTTCTTGCCAAGAATGTCTGTACAAGAGGGCAATTTTTGATTTAAGTCGATAAAGTTTTGTTTTTGCAGCGGTTTCTCCCGCTCCGTACTGTAGGTGATGATATATGCGAGCCTTAATTGCTACTATTTATACAGGTCTATATTTTCTAATTAAACATAGATACTTGTGTGTTGGCAGCTCAGTCGCCAGACACCACACTGGAGATTGGACAGTATTGACCTCATTTCATGCCTTCACTTTCCAGTAGGGGTCACTAAACAGTGATTGACTGTGAATCGCCTACTCGCCCAGGGTTAGCAAAGTCAATGATATTCTGTGCCAAACTTGATGAAATTAGGTCAGGAGAGATGGGAAACAGAATTTTAGTTAAGATCTTTCCATCACAAAAACTGATTGGCTTCCACCTCTGTTAACCAGGGTAGGGGAGTCCAAAACTAGAGGATATAAGTTTAGGGTGTGAGAGGAAGGATTTAAAAGGGACCTAAGGGGCAACATTTTTATGCAGAGGGTGGTGCGTGTATGGAATGAGCTGCCAGAGAAGGTGGTGGAGGCTGGTACAATTACAACATTTAAAAGGCATCTAGATGGGTATATGAATAAGAAGGATTTAGAGGGATATGGGCCAAATACTGGCAAATAGGACTAGAATAATTTAGGATATCTGGTCGGCATGGACGAGTTGGACCAAAGGGTCTGTTTATGTGCTGTATAACTCTATGACTGTATATCCCCCATCTCTTTCCTTGCCTTGTTCACTCCAGCTGAAACTCTCATCCAGGCTTTTCATACCTCCAGATGTCACATTCCCAATGCTTTCTGGGCCGGTCTTAAGCATTTCGTTCTATCTGCACTTGAACTCATCTAAAACTGCTTCCTGCATTCTGCATTCTGCTTATCCATCGCCCCCACTGCTTTGACTTACAATGGGCTCTGGTTCACCAAAGTCTTGGTTACAAAATTCTCACCCTTCCGTTCCATCTGTTCAGGCTTCTCCCTACTCCTGTTGCCACCTGCAGCCTCAAAGCCGTCCTATAATTGCATTCCTCTGACTCCAGTCTCGTACGCATCCTCAGTCTCTTCAGATCACCACAGGGGCCACATTTTAAACTAACTAGAATCTGGTAGTCCCTCTGTAAATTTCCACACCTCTCCATCTCCCAGTCCTTTACAATCCTCCTGAACCTACATGTTTAACCATGATTTTACTCCTTAGATGTAAAACCTCCTTTTTTGATGTAATGTCAAATGTTCCTCTCGCAATCCAGTGAAGTACCTTGGAATGTTCTCCCACACTGAATGCTCAAAATGAATGCAAATATTTGCGCTGCTGCAATCGTTGCATGAGTCATTATCACACAGGGCACCAAGCAACCAAAGGAGCTTCACGTAGGATTATATTTCAAAGCTACTTGCTTTCCAATGTACATCTTGCGTTTCAAAATTTAGAGAAAACCATGCCTGTGCTTTATTTTTGACTGTTAACTGAATGATGAAATCCCTACAGTGTGGAATCAGGCCATTTGGCTCATTGAGTCCACAACGATCCTCCGAGGAGCATTCGAACCAGACCTACACCCCCACCATATCCCTGTAACCCTGCATTTCCCGTGGCTAACCCACCCAGCCTGCACATCAGTGGACACTATGGGCAATTTAGCATGGCCAATCCACCTAACCTGCACACCTTTGGACTCTCCGCTAACCCTACCTCTGTCACCCACTTGGCACCCTACCTCCCTCAGACAGAAGGTATAAAGGGGGAGGGGCAGGTGGGACAAAGGAATGGTCAGGGCAGCAGGAGGTTAAAGGTCAAAGCTGTTTGAACAAAAGACAAAAGAAGTTGGAGTGCATTGGTCAGGAGTAGGTGTTAATAGCAGAACAAAGACGAGCCACGCCTCAAGACAAAACATTGAAAGAATATACAAACAGGCAGTTAGGGGTAAAAATGATTTAAAGCGTCAAAATGGGGGTGAGTTTCATGGTCTGAAATTGTTGAACTCAATGTTGAGTCAGATGAGACCACTTCTGGAGTACTGTACAGTTTTGGTCGCCCTACTATATGAATGGTATTATTAACTTGGAGAGGGTTCAGAAAAGATTTACCAAGATGTTACCAAGAGGGTTAGGGCTATAAGGAGAGCCTAGACAGGATGGGACTTTTTTGCCTGGAGTGTAGGAGGTTGAGGGGTGACCTTATAGAGGTTTATAAAATCTTGAGGAGCATAGATAAGGTAAATAATAAAGGTCTTTGCCCTAGGGCAGGGGAGTTCATAACTAGAGGACATAATTTTAGTATGAAAGGGGAAAGATTTAAAAGGGACTTGAGGGGCAACTTTTTCACACAGAGCTTCATGGAATGAACTTCCAGAGAAAGTGGTAGATGCAGGTACAGTTACAACATTTAAAAGATATTTGGATAGGTACATGAAAAGAAAAGGTTTAGAGGGATATGGGCCAAATGCAAGCAAGTGGTACTAGTTTAGCTTGGGAAACTTGGTTGGCATGGATGAGTTGGTCCCAAGAGTCTGTTTCCATGCTGTATGACTCTATGATTGTAAGTCATACATTTTAAAAAGTAGAATGGTGACCCACTTACGTTCAGAAAGAGATCAGAATTTGAAGGCAGTTCAGTTAATGGAGTACCGAACAGTCACACTTAGCGCTTCAGTGATTTCAATGGAGCCAACACAATGAATGAATTAGCTTTATTGTCACATGTACTGACATGAGTACAGTGCAAAGTTTACAAGTTGCCACTTACGGTGCCATCTTAGGTACCTAGGTAAAGATTCTTGAGTATAAAGTCTAAGGGGAAAAAAAGAAAAATAAAGAAAAATAAAGAAATAAAACATCCAGCTTTACAGAACTTCAAATGTATAAAATCACAGTAATAAATTAGAAGATAAAGAAGTAAAAGGTTCAGAATACCACTCCTTCCATGGTAGTACAATTAAAAAAGAAAGAAAATTTAAAAAAATGACAGAGGGATTAAGCTTCTTAATGCTGACTGCCTTGACCTAGTTGAATTGTAAGTTACATCAATTGGCCAGGGAATATGATCAGCAATGATGGAACAACACATTGCAACATATCTTACTCTACCAGTGGGACTTACATGCATAGTACACATGGCCTGTTGCAGGCAAAATGAGTTGAATATAACATTATAGAAATACAATGGAAGGCTACAATCTATAATCTAATATTATAAAGAAAATATAGGATGATAGAATATGGTATTGTAACATGTC